TCTCATGACAGCTGCTGTGTGTCATGACCTCGATCATCCTGGATTCAACAACATGTAAGAAAAGACACAGAAATGCAGCAATAGATGGTGCTTCTCTGTGTCATCTGTCTTCTTTTTTGCCCATTCTATTCTTGATCACATGGAGCAAATACATGCAGACACTGGAGTCATGCCGATTACACAAACAACAGATCAATTCAGTTGGACAAACAGAGGTGCAGTATTAAACTGAGAGGATAAGTGAAAGAGAGAAAAAACTACACCAAAATAGCACAAATAATTGTAGTAACAGGATAGAGGATGAAAAAAAAGAATAACAGGTATGTGTACAAACAATTTGTAAAAGACAAGTCTACACACTGATAGAGAGCTGAGAAGGGAATGAGACATAGAACAAGAGACAATTACCTTTCAAACTAAAACAGGAAGTTCTTTGTGTTTTCAATTTTCTACTAACTCAGTCTTCAGTGTCTCTCCTCCTGTCACGTTTGTCCCTGTGCCTTTCACTCCTCTTATTGATCCTCTTTGTCATAATTCCCTGCGCAGGTATCAGATCAACGCTAGAACGGAGATGGCCCTTCGCTACAATGATATTTCTCCTCTGGAGAACCACCACTGTGCTGTGGCCTTCCAGATTTTCTCCCGGCCTGATTGCAACATATTCTTCAACTTTGACCCTGAGGCCTTTAAACAGATACGACAGGTACTTATGTGCAGCTGCAGAAACAGAAGTATTGTTTGGGTTAATACATGCACTACAATGGCACAAAATAATTATATTATTATTTGATGAGACCCTGCACAAAATATTTAACAGGTGCTTTATACTGCCATTAAAAACATTTGCACTATTACTCTTTTTGATTAACTTTTCGGTTAAGGCTGATGAAGTCCTTGGACTTCAGGACTCTTTCTGCTTGGGCCAGTGATGTACAAGGCCTTCATCTTTGTTCGATCTGGCTTTATCCCTGCTTCTCTGACCTCGTGTCTCTTGAGTCTCTGAAAGTCAAGATAACCTGATATTCTTTCCACTCAACCTTTCAGTGAGAGATCACAGGGGTAGTTGTAGTTCTCTAGATCTAGATTCCCAGCCACCTGCTAAGGTACTTGTTAATCTTTTACTTCATTCCTTTCAGTACGGTAAATGGGACAGCATGCACTGTCATGGGCTACATTAACCTGGGGAACAGGCCATGTTGGCCTTAAACTCCCATGTAATCCACATCTATCAGTGTTCTTCAGCCATCCTTCTACTTGCTTCTCAGTGCTATGGACATTGTGGCTGTCCCTAGTGGCTGGGGTGACTGTAGCTCAGGGGGTAGTGCAGGTTATGTGCTAATAAGAAGGGCGGTGGTTTAAATCCTGGCTGCTCCAGTCTGCATGCTAAATATTCTTGAGCAAAATAGTAACCCCAAGTTGTCCTCTGATGCATCTATGAATATGTGTGAATGTTAGATTGTGGTAATATGACATTTACAATTTGCATTTTGTTTTAATTCACATTTTACATCCAACTGTTTCAAAATTAGATTTAAATGAGTAATTAAGACTATTTCACACCATGCTCTTTATCTTAAACTACATCTACAGAAAATAGTATAAGACACTGAGTTCTCCGTGTCTATACTGATGATTTATTTCCTTTGTCTTGTTTATCAGGAAACCATCACATTGATCCTGGCCACAGACATGGCACGCCACAGTGAGATCCTAAAAACCTTCAAGCAGAAAGTTGACAACTTTGACTACACAAATAAGGAGCATGTTGCCTGCGTAAGGACACATTTATAAATAAATCTTGATGCTGTCACCTACAGTTAGGATCAGCTAATCTGAACCAACAAATACATGAATTATAACACATGAATTAAAGATTAATGTGGAAAACTCAGTAACTGGACAGTTAGTAAATCAGTATCAGTCTTTCAAGGACAGACAGTAAAATGAAAATAATGTGATTGGTAACTCCTGCTTCACTTTGCTGAGCAAACTGGAAGAGAGAGAGAATATTAGTTTGTTCCCCAGCCTGTCCAATGGAAGAGATTACTGAAAAATATGCAAATGTACTTAGTTACATCAGTATTCATGGTAGCCTTGACCCTCTGACCCTGTGTTGTTTGCAGCTGAAGATGGTACTTATCAAATGTTGTGACATCTCCAATGAAGTGCGGCCCATGGAGGTGGCTGAGCCTTGGGTCGATTGCCTGCTGGAGGAGTACTTCATGCAGGTAGGTACAGCAGAGTCATTTGAATACAAGCAGGCAGCATTCAAAAGTCTGTTTCATTTGTACATGGAAAGTTCTGGTTAGCTGTGGTCCTAGATACTAAGATGGAGTGATGCTACACAAGGTTAATAAATAACAATGAGACACCTGCAGTCACTTGAAGTCTAGCTTCATTTACTTTAGTAGGAGGACAAAAAGAATAAGTAAATGAGAAAGAGTGAGCTGCTTGTGGAAAATATGTGTTTGTGCTGCTCAGAGTGACAGGGAGAAGGCTGAGGGACTTCCTGTGGCTCCGTTCATGGACAGAGAAAAGGTCACCAAGTCAACAGCCCAGATTGGCTTCATCAAATTCGTCCTCCTCCCCATGTTTGAGACTGTGATGAAGGTGAGTGGACGGTGACAGTCAAGGACAGACAAAATAAGAGAGGTGTAAGATAGGAGTGGGTCCTTGGACCTTTGAAGTGGCTTGCTCTCCTTTATAATTCGTCATATTGGGTAAAGGGTTCAAATTGAAAGGAAACTAGCTGCTGCTTTAGGCTAACTGCTTTCCTATTACACCTGAAGTACGGCAGCTATCTACTTTGAATTCCTGAATTTTCAGTATTACCCTGCTAATTTTAAGAATGTAGCAAACAGAGATACAACAAATACAACAAATATATGTGAAGGTCTACCGTGTTTATTCCTCTGCATATTATTAGAGCTTTTTTATAATTTCATGTTTTGCATTACAATACCGCAGAGACACAACAACTGACATATTTAAACTGTACAGTCTGAGGCAGAAATATTTCACTAGCTAATGTAGCTGTTGCTGTTCTGTGAGTCTATTGTGCAAGTGGTGTGATATGCCCATGTAGAAAGGACGGCACTGCAACGCTGGACTTGCCCTTACTCTGGGCTACATCTTTATTCTGGCAACTGGTACAAAGAAAACAGCACACAGTCTTCATTAACAGTGTGTAAAGCAACTGCAACCTTCAGTTAAAATTGACAACAGTATCGCTCACAAGCACCTATCACCAGCTTGGGAGTTTTTTTCCTTTGCTGAGGCATGCGCTGTGCAGCAATTTGGAACTTTAACAGTTGCAGTTGCAGTATTTGTCCACCAGGTGGCTCCAACTATTCACAAAGCACATCAATTTTGAGGAAATTCATTAAGCTATTTTCTAACTCTGTTACACTAACACATTTATTCAAACTGCATGTCACTGCTGTTGTACATTAAAATCATTTGTGGAAATAGTGTCCTGGACTTTTACAAACAAGTTTAGCAGGTTCATTTGAGAGTGATGATGATAGACCTGAAAAGACTCAGCTGAATGATTCCCTCTGCAGAAATGAAGCTTTTGCTCCTGCTGGAAAATGTTAACTGCTAAAAGGAAGATGTTTCAGATGAATCGAAGCAATATGTCCCAGGGGTGTTCTGTTGGATTTTGGTCAGGGGTCCAGTCAATGGTATCAATTCTTTGATCTTTACTGGCCTACCACCAAAGCAGTCATGCAGACCGTGTCACCACTGTCACATTTGCACGGGTGAACCTGCCAGTGGCTGACCTGCCAATTCTGGTATTCTATGGCAAAGTGCTGCGCAGTGAGCCCAGTAGAGGATATCAGACCTTACCTTATGAATTCTGTTTGTGATTGTTTGGTCAGAGACATTCACAGCACTGGCAACGCTCAGCCTGTTCTTCCTTCCACAAGCAAATCCTGTTTAGGCACTAGGGACCTTGTGTTGCCCTGCCCAGCTTTCAGAGAGTAACTACCTGTGCCCTCGATTATTATTATTATTATGTGAAATCCTATAGGAGTTGGACTACCTCCTGTCCAGCTTTGTGGAGTCTTTTATAAACTGTTTACGATCAGTCTGCAGAGGGTCCCAGTGCTGTGGAAGCTGTTATTGCTTGTTCCTGTACCAAAGATGCCACGCCGCAGTGCCCCCCAGGTTTACAGATCTGTGGCGTTAATTTAAGACATCATGCAGATGTGGTCATGGTCAGGCCACATCTGGACCTCCTTCATTTCGCTTACCAACCCCGCCTCGGAGTTCAGAACTCCATTACTTGCTCAATCATGTGTATGCCACTTGGAACAGCAGGTGAGCACTGTGAAGGTCATTTTTTCTTTTGTGCTTTTCCAGTGCATTCAACATCATCAGACCAGTCCTCCTGGGTGATAAACTGACAGCCATGCCTATCTCATGCGCTGGATTATAGATTACCTGGCAGAAAGACCACAATATGTGTCTGACAAGTTGATCAGCAACACCGGGGCACCACAAGGGGCCGTCCTCCCCCGTTACC